ATCTCCGCCGAGGTCTCGCCCTGGTCCCAGTCGTCGACGTCGGCCTGCGTGGCGTACTGGGACACATTCAGCGCGTCCACGGCGTTGGAGATCTGCGCGTTCACCTCGGCCTGGGTGTAGGTCTGGCTCTGGCCGTAGGCCTGGCACTCGATCTGCAGCGTGTTCCCCGAGTTCTGGAGCGTGGCCACCAGGGGCCCGGCGAAGTGCAGGTTCCGGAGCGCCTGCCGGGTCAGCAGCTCCCACGTCGTGTTGCCGCCCCAGCCGGGCGCGTTGGAAACGGCCGCGCCCGCGATGAGCGCGTCCACCTGCGCGGAGTCGTAGTAGGACGCGAGCGCGATGGCGATCTCGTTCAGGATGGGCGCCTGGAGCCCGGTCCAAGGCACGTAGGCGCTCAGGTCGATGCCGCCCACGGCGGAAGCGATGGCCGCGTCCGTTTCAGCGCTGGTGTAATAGGCCGCCAGCGCGGCCGTAATGGCCCCGTTGGTCTCGGCGCTGGTGTAGTAGCCGCCCAGCGTGGCCAGCACCCAGGACTCGCTGGCCTTGGGCGCCAGCAGCGCGTCCGCCTCGGCCTTGGAATAGGCGTCGCAGGCGAGGCTCAGCGTGAAGTTCTCGTTCTCCAGGGAGACGCTCAGGGGGGCACTGAAGTGCCAGTTGCGAATGGTGTTGGTGCCCGCCAGCAGGTCCCAGGTGGTCTGTCCGGGCCACGCCTGCGCGTTGCTGAGGTTCGTGCCGCCGCCCGTCGTGAGCGCGGCCAGCGCCGCGTTGATGGCGTCGATGGCCGACTGCAGGCTCGTCTCCGAGGCCGAGAGCTGCGCGAAGGTCGCGAAGGGCCCTGCGCCCTGCAGGGCCAGTATGTCGGCCTCGTGGCCGTGTCGGTGTAGGGCGCGAGCGCGCCGGCCACGTCGGCCGCGGACTGGTATAGCCGCGGCGAGCGCGGCCTCCGCGGCGTCGAGGCGCCCGTCTCTCACGGCCAGGGCCGCGTCCAGCGCCGCCTGCTGCACATACGGCAGCAGCGCCGTCGCGATGAGCTGCGAGGCGTCCGCGGGCGTGGTCTTCAGGGCCAGCGCGGCGTTGAGGCCGCCCGTGTCGGTGTAGGGCAGCAGGGCGGTCGCGATGGCCTGGGAGACGTCGGCGGCCGTTTGGCGCGCCGCCACGTCCAGGGCCAGCTGGTCCTGCGTGCTCTTGAGCCCGTAGTTCGCGGCCACCGTGGCCAGCGTCGCATTGTTGGCGCTGGTCACGGCCGAGTTCATGGCGGCCGTCCTCGGATGGTTCGACAATTTCAGGTCCACGGAAGCCGGCGTGGACTTGCCGTTGACCTCGAGGGCGTCCAACGCCGACTGGTTGGCCTTGCCCGCGACCCCAATGGAGGCGATGGACGAGCCGTTGGCCGCGATGGATCCCTCGGCCGCGGCCAGGTCCTTAAGGCGTCAGGTCGGGCGGCGGGGGCAGCGCGGCGACCTGGGCCTGCAGGGCGGCCACGGCGGCCGCGTTGGTGGCCACGCCGGCGGTGTTGGTGCCGATGTTCGCGGTGTTCCCGGTCGTGGTTTCCAGGGGCGTGTACTGCGTCAGCACGGTGGCCAGCTGCCCGGCGGTGATGCCGGAGGTCTCCGTCGTTTGGCCGTCATTAAGGATGTTTCCCGTGATGGTGCTTTCGAAGAGGCTCATGCTTTTACATCTCAGTCGAGCACGCTCACGCCGGCGCCCGAGAGAGTCACGATCTGGTAGCTGATGAGATGGATGTAGACTTGCTGCGCGCGGTCCGCCTGCAGATTTTTGAATGTGAAGCGCGCGAGGTCGCCGGAGCGCGTCGAGATGCCCGAGAGCGGGTGCTTGGGCACGCGCTCCACCGGGAACGCGGCGATGAACTGCGTGTCCTCGAACTCGAGGCGGTTCAGGCGCATGTTGCGGATCTTGGAGTCGTAGGCCCCCGCCATTATCTCCAAGAAGTGATGATGCTCAGCCAGGCTCGCCATGGGGTATCTTGGATAAGTCAACGCCCCCAGCTGCATTTGGCTCTCCAGCTGCCCGTTGACCGCGGGATACTCCAGATTCATCACCTCGCCCAGGGTGTCGTCGGCGTCCTTGAAGGTCACAAAAGCGCCCATGAGCTTGGTGTGGGCCCTTGCGACGGTGACGTTGTGACTGGTGGAGCCGGCGGGGATGTTGGAGACCTGCGTGTGCATCGTAGGGTACGAAAAGACGAGGCTGCGGCCCGAAAGCAACACTTTGTTGAACGATTCCACCAGAGCGCTGTCCAGCGTCACCTGCGAGGCCAGCACGCGCACGTTCTCGATGCTGTAGCTCGTGGAGCCGTTGCCTCCCGGCCAGAGCGCGTCTGCGGCCTCCGCGAACTCGATCTCCAGCACCAGGTTCAGTTGTGGGGGGAGCATCTTGCCTGATTGGAACAGACCGATGAGGGTCGGAGGCATCAGCACGTCCTTGAAGTTCCCATCCAGGATGGCGGGCGGGTTGCCCAGGTTCGTGGGGTAGGAGCCTTCGTAGGCCCGACCGTCGTACCACTCCTGGGGTTTCAGCAGGCTGTAGAGCCAGCAGCTGCGGCCGTAGTCGGTGATGTCATCGGTGCGCTGGCCGTTGCTGTACAGCTGCACGCGCTTGATGAAGCAGCTGCCCTCGAAGGAGCCGGGGAAAACCTGCCCGCCCCCTCCGTCGGTGTTCCGCACCCTAAAGGCGATTTTCACGCTCTCAGGGTCGATGAAGTCCATTCCGCTGGTCAGCGGGATCCTGGCCACGCGGCTGGTCGTGGGCGTGAAGGTGCTTAAGGAGCTCGGAAAATATTGCACGTCACGGCGGCTCTGCACATAGTTTACGTTGCTCGTCGCGAGCTTGTAGTCCAAGCTCTGCATGAGCTCATCCTGGACGGCTTGGGTGACGTTGTCCATCGCTCCTTTCGCGCGTCTTTGTACTATAGCGTTCATGCCAGTTCGAGGTCGCTCCTGAGCTGGTCGAACGAGGGCTCGGGCAGCGAGGCGCGGCTGGAGCGGCGGCTCTGCCTGCCGGCGGCGGAGCTGTCGGAGCCGCTCGAGCGGCCCTGCGGCCTCGGCATGCTGGACGCGCCCGGTTCAGGCCGAAGGGCAGCGCGGGCTGCCGCCCCTGCCGGCTCTGCAGCATCGGGGGGGGCTGGGCTCTCGGCTCCGCCTCCGAGTCCGCGTCCATCCTGAAGACCTGCGGCCGCGGCCGCTGCTCCCGGAGCGAGAAGTGCTGCTGCACGCCCGCCTCCTGCATGCCGTTCAGCGTCTGCACGTCCACGGCGGAGCTGGGCCTCGACTGGTCGCTGTCTGTGCCTCCGCGCCCTCGCCCCAGCCCAAAAAGTGCTCGGCCGCCATCATGCCGCCGTGCAGCGCCCAGGCAGTGCCCACCAGGGCCGCCCCCGCGCCCGCCACGGCCAGGCCGCCCACCGCCGCGCCCACCGTGGCGGCCACGGGCAGCCCCGCCTCCCCCGCGGCGGCCAGCCCCGAGCCGATGGCCGCGAGCGCGCCTCCCTCCGCGGCCTCCGCGGCCGCCGCCTCCGCGCCCAAAACCGCAGCCTCCGCCGCGGAAGCGAAGCCTTCGGCCTCCGCCTCGGCCATCTGGCCCTGCGTGAAGGCCTCGATGTCCTGCGCCGCCTGGCGCTCCACCTCCGCAGCCCGCTGGCCCGCCCGCTCCAGCAGCGGCTCCACCTCGCTCGGCCGGCCGATGATCTGCGGCGGCGCCACCTCGTCGGGCGGGGGCGCCAGGCCCTCCGGCGTCCTGGGGATGCGCAGCGTGCGGTCCAGCCACTGCCGGCCCCGCAGCCCGTGGCGGTAGAGGTCCCCGGAGTGGGCTGCGATGGAGGCCACGGAGCCGAGCCCGCCCAGCACGCAGTCTCCCAGACTCGGGGCGTCGGGCAGCGCCAGCCCGTCCTGCCTCAGCGCCTGGCCGGGGTCCGCCCCCAGGTCGCTGTCGGAGTCGGCGTGGAAGGGCCTGGGGCGGCGGCGCTCCGCGGGGTTCAGGTGGGTGTGGGGCAGCGGCTCGTCGCTCAGAGGCTCGCTGGACGTGGGGAAGTCGTCCAGCCTGAAGTGCGAGTTCATGTAGATGGAGGCAATCCGGTTCGGGAGCCCGATGGCCAGGGGCTCGCCCTCCTCAATGTACCCGAGCACCAGTGGCGCACCCTGAAGCCGTACTGGCGCCGCTCCTCCATGCGTGGTGTCTTTACAGCATGCCCCCGTGAACGCCGCTGTCCGCCGTGTTCCTGCCCGCCGCGACGTCCCTCGCCATCCGCCGCACCCCCGCCCGCTCCGCCGGGGCGTACCGCAGCTGGGGCACCCGCCGGTTCACGGCCTCCGTCAGCCGGCCCACCGCGTCGGTGTACTCCTCGCCCTCCTTGCGCGTCCGGCGCTCCTCGAGCCACTTGTTGAAGGCCCTGGCCTCCAGGAGCTCGTTGTAGCGCTTGTGCAGCAGCGGGTTCACGTTGTAGCTCGGGTACTGCCGCCAGAAGCTCCTCAGCATCTGGGGCTCGTTGCGGCGCTCCAGGACCATCATCCTTTTTGCTCTGCACGTCCATGGTGTTCGCCATCGCCAGCTGCTCGAAGCGGTTCTGCCGGTTGATCTGGCGCATCATGCGCACCTGCGAGGGCGTCAGGTGGACGGGGCGCTGCTTCGGCTCGGGCTCCGGCTCAGCAGGAACCGCGCTCGCCGGCTGCGGCTGACCGCCTCCCCCAGCGTCGGCGGCGGGGACCGTCTTCGGCGGCGCCTTGGGCTTGTTCTTCGAACCGAGCGGCCGGCCCCTGCGCTTGGGCCCTGGTGCTCCGGCACTCTCAGCGGCGGGCACGGCCACCGCCCCAGTGCGAGGTGTGGGAGGGGGAGCGGGGGCGGGATCAGCCATTGCAGGAGCCTCTCCCACCAGCTCGGCTGCTCCAGCAGGTTCCTCCGCGCCTGCTGCCTCCGGAGCGCCCTGCTGGGGCTCCTGGGGCTCCGGCTCATCGGCCATGCCGCGTCGGTGCCTTTTGTTTTCTGGGGGCCCTTCATTTTTCCGGGTCGAGGAAAATCGCGAAGCTGACGGACGTGCCTCGGGTGTTCACCTCGTTGCCATTTACGTCCGTCAGCCGAAAGTTCAGGGGCCGCAGCGTGATCGGGCCTCTGAGCTCCACGAAGTGCCCGTCGTCGGTTTGGTCCTTCATGACGTGCCCCACGCCGCGGTCCACGATGACCTTGCAAATTATGTCCGTCCCCAAGGGGCCCAGGATGTGGGCCGCGTTGCCCAGCTCGCGGCATCTAAGGTAGACCTCGTTGTAGGCGTTCATGGACACCCACGGGAAGATCTGCAGCGCGCCGTCCAGGTAGCTGCCGCCCAGCAGGTGGTTGATGCTCTGCGGGCGGGTGGCCGAGGCACCCTGACGGCGGCGCTGATGAGCCGCAGCTTCTGCGAGGACACCCAGGTGCTGATCTGCATGTGGCGCCCGCGGATGAACAGCGTGTCCAAGGCGCCGTCCCCCGTCCTCCGGTGCAATTCCGGCTGATCCGCGAAATCGTCGCAGATGATGAGCACCTGGTAGAGCCTTTTGAGCCCGAGCTGCTTGGACGTTCTGGTGACCTTCTTTGCTGCTGTATGATGGTGCGCAGCGCCCCCTCGTCCCACTTGTCGAAGTAGACCTGCTCCCTTTCGGTGTTCACGCCCATGTCCTTCTCGATGAACTCCTTCACGGGCCTCCAGCCGTCATCCACCTCTATGCTTGGCGAAAAAATGTAGATGCGCTCGAAAACGCTGGAGCCGTCCGCCGTGCGATACTGCTCCAGGATCGCGCTGATCAACGCGACCGTCTTGCCGCTTTTGCTCGGCCCGAGGAAAATCCCGGTGCAGGGCACCCGCGGGACCACGCTGTCGCGCGGCTGCTTCGAGGTGTACTCGGGGGTCGGGAAGAGTTTGACCTTGCCCATTCTTTACACCTCCCGATCAGCCGCTGACAGCCGCGGCCAGCTCGTCGCAGAGCCGCGGGGGCATGCTGTAGAGCTGCTGCTGGCTCTGCTGGCCGCGGCGGCCGGCGGTCGTCCCCCGCTGTGCTGCCTCGGGGTGGATGCCGTCCGCGAAGGCGGCGCAGCGGCTGCCTTTGAGGCACATGGCTTCCGAGGGCCGCCAAGGCAGGTTGTGCCAGATCCTCGTGGCCTTCCGGTACCGGTACCCGTACTTGCAGTAGCAGACGTCCGAGAAGGGCAGCCCGTGCATGAAGGGTCGAGTTTTCAGCAGCCCCGTCTGCGGGTTCTCCAAGGCCCACCACTTGCGGATGACCTCGAGCGCTCGTAGCACGAGGCGGTCCCCCGCCTCGAGGTTGCGGGGCCTCTTCCGCAGCGCCTGGGAGTACTCGGTGCGCACAGGGCTGGCCCAGACCATGTCGAAGTGCCCCAAAGAAGTCTCGTCGAGCTCCATGATGTCGCAGCAGACGGTGGGCTCGAACTTGGGATCGAGGTCCACGGAAACGACCTCCCAGCCCCTGTCCCGGAAAGCGCGCCCCGTGCCCGAAAAGAGCTCAAGGAGCCTCATACTCTTTGATGGGATCGCAAAGGTACCACACGAAGACGACGAGCCCCGCGAGCAGGCAGGCCAGCTCGAGGTTGCACATGACGCACTCACGCAGGGTCATGGGCGGCAGCGGGCGTTGGGGATCTTGGTCGGACCAGTCCGTGGTCTTTTATGGAAGGGTAAATAGAGCCGCCGGCTCGCCAGCGGAAGAACATGGCATCAAGGCAGAGCTTCGAGCTGGGCGAGCTGCTCACGAACGCAAAGGGAGGCAAGTACCTGCCGCTCAAGGCGGCGGACGGAGTCGTGCCCGCGTGGAGCAGCCCCGCCTGGCTGCGCATCCTGTGGCACCCCACCGCCTTCGGCGACGCCGACGCCCGCCGCGTGAACGTCTGCTTCGAGCCGGATGAGTCCGTCGTGCTGCTCTTCGAGGTTGTGGAAAAGGAGCTGGCGTCCTTGCTCGTGGCCAAATCGGGCAGGGACCCCAAAGTGTTCGGCCGCAGCCTCTCACCCTCCGACCTGGAGGCGCGGCTGCAGTCCTGCCTCAAGACCAGCCAGCGGGGCACCTCCATCCAGAAGGCCAAGCTCAACTGGGACAGGGGGCGCTTCTGGGACACGGAAGGATACCCGCTACAGGAGCCGGGCGACCTCGCCGGCCGCAGCGCCAGGGTGCGCCTCGAGCTGCGCCAGGTCTGGGTGATGAACCCCCAGTGCGGCCTGCTGTTGGAGGTCACCGACCTGCAGCTGCAAAAAAAACGAGCCGGCCAAGGTCGAGTGTCCCTTTGCTTGACTGCTAGAAGAAAGGGTGGCGGGCGCCCGTGGCACAGGCCTGCCCCCAAGGCCCCCCGCGGCAGGGGCAGCTTACAGCAGCCGCCGAATTCGTTTCTGAGACATCAGCCACTCCCCTCTAATTCGTTTACGGACCCGAAATCTGCTCGGACGGATGTTTTTTTTGCCGGACCAGAAAGAAGAAAAGGAATGAGTTGGGCGCAACAGCGCGAGCAGATCCGCCGCGCGGCCGAAGCCGGGGTCAGGCCAAGGGCCTCGGCGCTAGGCTCCCAGATTCTGCCCCTCCGCGGGCGCCCAAACGGCGCCCTGACGCGAGCCGGGCAGCTGTACTACCAACTTGCAGGCCGCCGGCCGCCGAGCCGTCAGTTCGACGAGTCGCAGCCGCTGATCCGCGAGGGCGCCTCCGATTACATCCTGCTGCGCAGCGGCGTGAAGAAGCTAGCGCGCACATTGGCGCCGGACGGCAACTACCACCTTACGAAGCTGGGCAAGGCCTTCTTCAAGGAGAAGTACACGGAGTGGCTGGCCCACGTGCCGGTGCGGATCCGCGGCCGCCGCAAGAACGGCCGGGCCTACGAGCGGCTGGATTACCTGCCCATGACCTCGCTGAACGTCGGGCTGCAAAGGCAGAACGACGGACTGTCGGAGGGGCAGGTGGCCCGCAACGTCAAGAAGGCTGGGCGACCCCTCAGAGGACGACGTGATCATGGAGCTCTCGGAGGAGGTCTACCACCTCGACGGGTCGCGGGAGTGGACGCTGAGCTCGCAGACCACGCAGCACGTCGACAACCGCACGCTGGTGGAAACGAGCCTGCGGCAGCCGCTCGGTGCCCTGCGCGAGGTCTCTTACCAGCTCTTCAAGGGCGACGAGATCCTGGCCTCGGCCTTCGAGCAGCGGGACGACCAGCTCTGCGCGGCCCGGCAGCTAGCGGAGCTGCTGCGGCTGCCGCTGGAGGAGGTGCTCTCCGACTTCGACACCATCTGCGACCGCGGCTGGCAGGAGCGGGGCATCACGCCCGAGGAGATCCGCAAGTTCTGCGTCTGGCGGGGCGCGCCGATGCTCTTCGTGAACTGCCAGGGTCAGCTCCTGGACTCTTACCAGCCGGCCGTGAAGGAGGCGCGTGCCGTGGCCTTCACGGCCTGGCAGGGGCACGCGTTCTTCTACAAGAACGCCCGTAGCGTCTTCCAGTGCGACGACGCGGAGCGCTTGCGGCCCCGCTTCCGGTCGGAGCGCCGGGAGTCCACAGTGCCCGAGTTCGGCGCATGGCGAGAGTGGGACGGCGAGCTCCGCGCAGGTCACTTCTGGACGCGGGACCTGCGGCAGGCGCGGGGCGCGCTGCTGGTCGCGGGGCACTGCCCCAGGGTGGCCATGCGCAGCCTCTGCGAGTGGCGCAGCCTGCGACTGCGGGCGGGCGAGGCGGACTGCGTCATCTGCGAGCTGCCCGACGATGCCGAGATGCTGCAGGCGTGGATGGAGCGCTTCGGGCTGAAGTACCGCGGCCAGAGGCTGGCCGGCGCCACCAACGAGGTCTTCTTGCACCTGCTCCGGGCGCAGCGCGAGGTGCCGCAGCAGCGGGAGCAGATCCTGGCCTCCCAGGGCGGTGCCTGCAAACTGTGCGGCGCGCCCATCGCCCTCGGCACCTGCGAGTTCGACCACGTGGTGCCGGTGAGCACCGCCTTCCGCGGGCAGATCCAGGAGTTCCAGGCGCTCTGCCACGAGTGCCACCGGCTCAAGACCAGCCTGGAAAACTCGCAAGCGACTGCGCTGGAGAGCCGCTTCAGCCCCGCGGCGTGCGAGGCCTATGTGAATTCGCCGAGGCTGCCCCCGCTGGTCTGCGGGCTGCAGAAGTGGAACGAGGACCGGGTCTGCTGGGGCGTGGACGTGGTGCGCTGCCGCAAGAACGGGCTGGCCAACTGCCGGCGTTCTGCCCGCTGGATTCGGTGCAGGAGGCGCGGGAGGGCTGCCTGGCGGACTTGACCTATGTCAAGCTGCGGAAGGACGGGCGCGTGGCTTTGCTGAGCCGGCTGCCGTACGTGGGCGAGGGCTGGTACGCCAAGCCGGCGTGCGCCCACATGCTGGAGGCCGGCGTTGCGACGTGGCAGGACTTCCTCTGGAGCCTGGACGCCACCGCGCACGTGGTCCCGAGCTGCCTTGCCTGGGCGCTTCGCAAGATGGAGCAGGCCTGGCCCGAGGAGCACCTGGCCAAGCTGAGCGTCAACGCTCTGATCGGCCTGTGGGCGCGCAACGTGGACCTCATCTACCTGATGCGCACCTCGAACAACCAGCTCGATGGCCACGGTTGCCAGTACCGGCAGACCTTCGTGGATGCGGCCGGCAAAACGCACTGGGACCACATCTTCGTGACGCAGCTCTTCAGCAACGCCTCGCATCGGCCCGCTTGGGACTTCGTCATGGCGGCGGAGTACTGCGCCGTGGCCCGGATTCGACAGATGCTGGCGGAGGTGCCGATGCGCTACCTCAAGTTCCTGAAAACCGACTGCCTGGGCTTGCAGGACCTGCCCAAGAAGTACTGGCCTGCGGTGGAGCGGCTCACGCGCCTGCGCCACCCCGACGGCACGCCGGTCTACAGGTGCGAGCAGGTCGAGCAGCTGCGCGGGCGCCACTTCGAGCCGGAGATCCAGGCTGGGCCGCCGCAGCGCCGCGGCTGGGAGCAAGTGGACGACCCGCTGGCCCACTGTCTGCAGGGTCGCAGCCTGCTGCTCACCGGGCTGCGGCGCACGGGGAAGACGCACCTCGCGAGGCGCATCGTGGAGCAGCTGCGGGAGGCCGGTGACGTGGTGCAGCTGGTCTCGAAGACCCACTGCGCGGCGCAGAACTTGGGTTTGGGGGCTCAGACTGCCGACCACTGGGTGCGTCGCACGGTGCGCAACGGCCGCTGCCAGCTCGACTGGCTGGTGATCGAGGAAGTCACGCAGATGGACACGGGGCTCTGGGCCGACGTGGCCTGCGTGGCGCTGGATCGCGGCGTGAGCTTCCTGCTCATGGGCGATTTCCGGCAGCTGCCGGCGGTGCTCGACAGCTTTGCCGGGGCCCGCGTGGAGCGGCCGCTGAAGGACAGCGACCTGCTGCGGGACCTGGCGGGCGGCTGCTGCCACGAGCTCACGGAGAACCGCCGCTCGGACGAGCGCATCTTCCGGTTCATCAGCTGGCTTCGGGTGGGCGAGCCCGAGGAGGTGGCCCTGGCCGAGGCCGTGAGGGTGGTGCGCCGCGAGTTCCCGCGGCCGCCGGGCGCGCACCCCGACGTGTGCCTGGTGCTCTCGCACGCGCACCGCGTACAGGTCAACGAGCGGGAGAACAGGCGCCTGGCGCCCGCGGACGCCGTGGTGATCGAGCACCAGGCGCCGGGCGCGCCCACGACCAACGCCCCGCAGTCGATGCGAGTTTGGCCCGGGCTGCGGCTGGTGGGCGCCGGCGGCAAGGTGGCCAAGGGCACCTTCGTGCGGGTGGCCGAAGTGGGCGCGGAGCGCGTCGCGCTGGACGGCGGGCAGCAGTTCACCCACGCGGAGCTGCTGCGGCACACGCGGCTGTGCCACGCCATTACCTACGCGAGCTGCCAGGGGCTGACGCTCCGCGGCCGGGTGTGGCTGTTGGACGCGTGCACGCAGCACTTCAACCTGCGGCACCTCTACGTCGGGGCCAGCAGGGCGACCAGCTCGGAGCTGCTGAGCGTGCTTTAAGCGCGGTTAAGCAGGCGGGCGCAGGGAGGCGTGCCAAAATTCCGGCACGGTTGGCACGCTGGCACGCGCCGCGGGGAGGCGTGCCAAAAATGCCTGGCACGGTTGGCACGCTGGCACGCGGCCGCGGGGAGGCGTGCCAAAATTCCGGCACGCTTGGCACGCTCGCACGCGGCCGCGGGTGACGTGCCAAAAATTCCGGGCACGCTTGGCACGCTGGTGCGCGGCCGCGGGGAGGCGTGCCAAAAATTCCGGCACGCTTGGCACGTTGGCACGCGGCCGCGGCTAGGCGTGCCAAACTTCCGGCACGGTTGGCACGCTGGCACGCGGCCGCGGGGGGGCGTGCCAAAAATTCCGGCACGCTTGGCACGCGGCCGCGCCAAAATTCCGGCACGGTTGGCACGCTGGCACGCGGCCGCGGGGGGGCGTGCCAAAAATTCCGGCACGCTTGGCACGCTGGCACGCGGCCGCGGGGGGGCATGCCAAAATGCCCGGTTGGCACCGTGAAGGGTGTTTCTGGCACAGTTGGCACACTGGCACACGGCGACGGGGAGGTGTGCCAAAATTCTGGCACAGTTGGCACACTGGCACGCTGCTGCGGCAGTTGGCACGCTGGCACGCGGCCGTGGGGAGGCGTGCCAAAAATGCCTGGCACGGTTGGCACGCAGGCACGCGGCCGCGGGGGGGCGTGCCAAAAATGCCTGGCACGGTTGGCGCGCTGGCTCGCGGCCGTGGGGAGGCGTGCCAAAAATGCCTGGCACGGTTGGCACGCTGGCACGCGGCCGCGGGCAGGCGTGCCAAAAATGCCTGGCACGGTTGGCACGCTGGCACGCGACCGCGGCACGGTTGGCGCGCTGGCGCGCGGCCGTGGGGAGGCGTGCCAAAAATGCTTGGCACGGTTGGCACGCTGGCACGCGGCCGCGGGGAGGTGTGCCAAAAATTCTGGCACGGTTGGCACGCCGGCCGCAGGGAGGTGTGCCAAAAATTCTGGCACGGTTGGCACGCTGGCACGCGGCCGCGGGGAGGCGTGCCAAAAACTGGCACGGTTGGCACACTGGCACGCGGCCGCGGGGAGGTGTGCCAAAATTCCGGCACAGTTGGCACGCTGCTTGGTGGAGGGGTGCCGGCGTGCCAGGCGTGCCGGCATTTTGGCACACCGAGTTTTGGCAACGTGCCGGCGTGCCGGGCGTGCCAGAATTTTGGCACGCCGAGTTATGGCAACGTGCCAGCGTGTCAAACGTGCCAAAATGTTGGCACGCCGATTTTTGGCAACGTGCCAGTGTGCCAGACGTGCCAAAAGGATTTGCCCCTCTAAGGGAAGCCCCCAGGATTGGGAGGGGGGGTACCTGAGCGTTGCAGCCGCAACCGTGCAGCGTGCAGAGAAGCAAAAGCCGCTTAAGCCCCAGCCTAAACATCCTAAACCTTAAACGTTAACCCCAGAAGCCCCTCTCATTTTTCGACGGTACATTTGCATAGAGTGTTTGAGTTTCTTACGATTTTTTCTTGTTGAGGTGCAGGTTTCCACAAATCTTTTACATGATTGACTTGGAGATTTTTTCCCACTTTGAGTTGTGCTATTCTGCTTGCTGCTCGATTTTGATGTTTCAGTGAAGCGACCACATCACTGGGAAAGAACTTGCTTAATTTTGATTTTCGCTTGCAGAGCTTGAGTCCGGGAGCATGGGTTTGAAAATCCGGCTTGTTCTGAGATTTTTTTGCTCATTTGTGCAGCCCGTTTGCGCTCAACCGTTTGGTGGGCGAGATCCAGCTGATTTGTTGAGATCGGCTACCTGTAGTGCAACGGTAAGCGTCCGACCTGGAACTAATTGTGAGGAAGCAATGCAAAAGGGGGTCTCGACGATGTTAATCAGCAGGCGTGTTGCTTATCTGTTTTTGCCAGACCTTCCCACCAGAATGTCGTTTTCGTGGGAGGTTTTTCCTGGGCATTTTCGTGTGGAGTTTTTTGCAGATTTTTTCCTGTGATTTGTTGTTGCATGTGGGTGATTTTTGTGCTTTTGCTTGCTCGCAGCTGTTCGGCCGCAGGCTGCGCGATGATGGCTTTTCTTACAAGGACTGCGAAAGCAGCGCCCCAGAGGTGGGCAATCCTGGCCCAGCTTGGCGCTTCTGTTGTTCGTGCGAGAGCATGTTCTTGTTCGGCTATTCGTTTTACTTTGCACGTATTGCTGCTGTTTGGAGGTGGTCACTTGGAAGGAATCGTGGCGCAGGCACAGATTGGAGGTTGCATCAGATTTCTGCGGCAGTGCAGTTGCCCAAAACCCTGCCAGGTGCACCGAAGCTCTCAGATTCCGAAAAGCAGGACCGGTCGAAGCTGTGTTGCAAAGTTTGTGGAGCTAGGGTTACTTGGGATGGTCTTGCGCTTGCAGGCCCCAGCGCGGACTGCTGACCCGGTCGAAGATGCCAAGAAGGCTTTCGTGCCAGGGTGTTGTTGCCGAGCTGCTTCGCTTTCTTTCCTTGCTTGTTGCCGGGCACGTGCATAGATGATGCCGAAGCCAGGATGCTTCTCAAGCAGCTTGGGCTGTTGTTAGATAGAGCTTCTGCTGTTGGAAGTTCGTTATTCAGAGATTTTGGTTTGTGCTGTGCTGGTGCGCAGTGCTTTGGCTGAAACAAGAAAATCATGGCAAAACGTGGTGGAAAATTTGGCGCCACAGTGTTACTGCTCGCGGGCCTCTGGCTTGGTCTAGCTGGATCTCGCTGGGCTCTCGCGTTGACAGCGGCCAGCAGCGCTGGTGCCCTGAAGCGACTCCACGCTGGCGTCCTGAAGCTGAAGGCCGGGGACTTCTTAAGCCGCTGGCAGTTAATTGCGTTTCTGTAGATTCTATGGACATGGAGGTTCTTGTTCAGGTCCCGTGAGTAACTTATCTGATGGCTTGTTTTCAGTGAGCTTGTGCCTGCTCGTGCCAGCTAGAACTTTGAAACTCGAAGCCTCAAAAACAGCAATGGCCTCTGTGATGCTGCTTACTTGTGTGTTGCACGCCTCATGCGTTCACTGCAGCTTCAACTTGTCAGGCCTCCTGCAGCGAGGACGTGGAACGCGCAGCGACAGAGGCACGTTTAGGGAGCTTGTGTTCTTGCCGGTTTGGGTTTGGTAGCTCTAGGCAGGCTTGGATCAGGCGGGCTGTCCGTGAAGGCTCGCAGACTGGAGCATTGTTTAGGCTGTGCCCATTGGCGCAGGCCGCGTGGCTGCGAAAGACAGCTCAGGAGATCAAGCGCTTTAAAGCGGATGAGGCGCTTTGCGATGTCTCTTGCTTGAAGCTTCGGGTCTGCGAGCATGGATGGCAGGTCAGTTCTTGGGTCCGGGCGGCCTTGGAAGCAGATAACTACGCCGAAGAGGTGCAAGAGATTGTTGGGACTTTGAAGCAGCAGAAGGTGAAAGGCACCGCGCTGATGGACCTGACCTATGAGCGGCTAGTGGCCGAGCCCTACAAAATTGCTGGTGGCCCTGCCGGAAACCTGGCCAAGCGCATCGCCGCTGTGTCTGCCCAGCCCATGGCCGCGAGCGGGTTCCAGGCGCGGGCCTCAGCGGAGATTGGAGGGGTGCCTTGGGGTCACTGGGGAAGTTTGTGAGGACGACCCGGAAGCCACGGAGTTCATCCGGGAGCTGGCCAACGCTACGCCACAGGACTTGGGTGAAGGCCGCTTGGGGGCTTTGGGGTGAGTGATCTCTTTTGTCTGCGCCCCTGTTGCAGGCGTGCAGGTCTTCAACCTCACGAAGTCCTTGCCCGTAAAGCCCTACGGCGAGAGCGGGCCAAAATTATTGACGCGCACTACGACGCGCCGGGCCTGGCATGCCACCTTCGAGCTCATGAAGGGCGGCATCGAGCGAGTGGCCATGTTGGGCGTCCCGGGCATCGGGAAGAGCCGCAATTTGGCGCTGGGCCTCTGGCACCTGGTGACGGGCCAGCTGCCAGACGGGATTCCGCCGCCCGAGGCCATCGTCTGTGAAGCCCGGGAGGGTGGGGCGGTCTTCCTTTTCACCAAGGGCCAGGGTGGCCAGTGGAAGGGTCAGAGCCAGTCGATGTTAACATGGGATGCTTTCGCCTCCCCGTACCTGAAGAACACCAGCAACTGGTACCTAGTGGATGCCTCCGAAACAAAGACCTCCACCTTGAAGTTGTTTGCCAAGACAGTGATCGCCTGCAGCCCTGACCCGAAACACTACAGCCAGCTCGTCAAAAGCGGCGAGTGTGTCTTCGTAGAAGCTTTCAGGTGGGCCGAGGTGGAAGCGTGCTATGCACAGTTGGAGACTCAGGTTGACCAGAAGGATATGCGCCGAAGGTTCCAGCAGGTCGGAGGTGCTCTGCGCACTCTTCTGGCAAGCCAGACGGGCTACAAACGAGCCCTCCAGCTGCAGAGGGCCGAGGCAAAGGACTTCACGACGGTCGAACGTGCTTTTGAGGGTGATTTGCGCACCGTTGACGAGAAGAAGATGCCGACCAGGCTCTTCACATACCTCAGTGCAGATGGGATCTCAAACAATGTCACCGTCTGCTCTCCTGGCGCTGCCGCACTGCTTGTCGATCAGCACTATGACAAGCTCGTGGAGCTGTGGAATGCAGGCAAGCCAGAGTCGAGGTATGTGCTTGAGGAGTGTGTAGGCCCGCTTTTGACAACCTTTTGGCCGGGCAAACAAGGGTTCACAGCCTTTGAGGTCACCAATGCGGCACAGCCGGCTGGGAAAAGGGCCCAATGGAACCGCACACCGGTCAATGATTTCCAGTTAAAGGAGGGTTTGCAGCTCCTAGAGTGTGACACTGATCAAATCTTCGATGACAGATGGCGGAAGGCTGTGCAGAAAGGCAGTCTAGAGGGACGTGTTCTGCATAGCCCAGAGAATTACCCGGGCATCGACTACCTGCTGGACTTCAACCACGGCATCTCCGTGACGACCTCCCTCAAGCACGACATCGTAAAGGCGTTTCGTGAAAAGTTAAAGAAGATGTTCAATGCCCAACCCTGCAGTTTCACTCTCACGTGTCTCATTACAGGAAATCCTCGGAAATTCACACCGAACAGAAGCGATTACAACGCACTAATGGACATGGCAGGTGAAGGTCAAGGAAAGTTGTTTGAGAATGTTCGTGTACAGGTCGTGCAGATTCCGAAGACGCTCACTAGCCTGAGTCGAAAACTATGCTGCGGAGAGATCTTGAGTGTGTGTCTGCAGCACTTGCTATAGCTTTCGTCTCGGTTGTTGGCATCCTGAAGCTGTCAGGGGGCGGCTCGTCTCGCCCCATGGCCGAAGCCTGGAGTGAACCCCAGGCAGAGCAGGGCATGGTTGTGAGCCGGGGCTTGCATCAGCCAGCTGCGAAACCCTCATGCCATCTCATGCCTTTTCAGGTTTGCTGTGGATTGCGAAAGTGAAGCTGGGATTCGTTTGTCGTTGTGTGGGGTTGGTGAATGCTGTCAGAGGGGTGAGACTCATAAGGCTTTGTGGAGATCAGTCATTCAAACCCCGGCAAAACCCTGAGAATCGTGACGAATGGGCCCTCGTTTCCCTAAGCGGCTGTGATGCTCCACTGCGGCTCGTCTGATGCTCAACTGCTCATCCGCCCGCCCGCTAGTGCTCTTTCGATGCTCAATAATGCTCATCCGCCCGCCCTCTGAGGTTCATCCGCCCGTCCGCTGATGCTCTTGAATGCTCATGCGCCCGCCTGCCAATGCTCCGCCGGCTGGTGCTTCATCCCGCCACACCCCGCCACGCGCCCCGCCGATGCTCATCTGGCCTCTGCTGATGCTCATCCGCGCGCTAGCCTGCGCCAACCTCCCAACCCCTGCAAAACTGCCCGCCCACCGGCGCTCATCAATGCCCCGCCAGCCCACACCCCCGGAACCTGCGCCCGATGCTCGCCCGGCCGCTATGCTCCTCATCCGTCCGCTGAGCATCCGCTGAGGCTCCTGATGCTCGTCCGCTCGTCCACTGATGTTTCGCTCATCTCGTCTCTCAAAGGTAGCCCGGCAAAGCCGGCAAACTGGCAAACAGGAGCCGGGACAGTTTGCCAGGGCTCGGGTGCCCGGCAAAGCCGGCAAACTGGCAAAACACGAGTGCCCGGCAAAGCCGGCAACCGGAGCCCGGCAGTTTGCCAGGGGACGGGTGCCCGGCAAAGCCGGCAAACTGGCAAACAGGAGCCCGGCAGTTTGTCAGGGGACGGGGTTGCGGCGGGCCTCTTTGCCAGGTCATTCAGGCTGGCTGCGCACAGTCAGGGGAGTCTGGGGAGTGCTATAGCAGAGAGAGCCGGCAACCTGGAAAGAAGCCCCCCGGAAGTTTGACCTGGCAAAGAGCCCCCCCCGAAATTTGCCAGCCTCGCCCTGGCAAGACTGGCAAAAGTGCGCAGCATCACATCTTTCATTCAACGGCGCTCAAGACTTCAAACGTGCCAGTGTGCCAGATATGCCAGGATTTCTGGCACGCTCATTTTGGCATGTGCCAGAATGTCTCGCACGCTCATTTTGGCAAACGTGCCAGTGTGCCAGATGTGAATTTCTGGCACGCTCATTTTTGGCAACGTGCGCCCAGATGCCTTTCTGGCACTCATTTTTGGCCACGTGCCAGTGTGCCAGATGCTCTCTCTTCTATAGCACTCCCCAAACCCCCCTGAAGGCTGTGCACAGCCAGCCTGAATGAAAGTGAGCAGCATCACATCTTTCATTCGACGGCGCCCGGAGCTGCAGGAATGCAGCCACAGAGCCGTGGGACCGCAGTTCTGCAGCCAGCGAAATCACACTTTAGAGCACTTTTGGAGGGTGAGCGTTCCGTCAAAAATCGCACAGAAATGCATTTCTACAGGACCGGGGTGATAGCGGAGGACGAAGTCCGGAGCCCCCCGGTCCTCCAGGGATGCATTTCTGCGCGATTCTTGTTGCGAGCACCCAAAAGTGCTCTAAAGTGTGATTTCGCTGGCTGCAGAACTGCGGTCCCACGGCTCTGTGGCTGCATTCCTGCAGCTCCGGGCGCCGTCGAATGAAAGATGTGATGCTGCTCACTTTCATTCAGGCTGGCTGTGCACAGCCTTCAGGGGGGTTTGGGGAGTGCTATAGAAGAGAGAGTCTTGTGCCAGGCGTCCCAGGTTCAGCAGATGCCACAGGTCCTCAGGTCCTCATTGCAGCATGGACCACCGTGGGTCTATTGCCAGGCGTCCCAGGTTCAACAGAGTGCAGCACAAACCCCGTGGGTCTTGTGCCGGGCGTTCCAGGATCAGTAGATGTCACAGGTCCTCAGGTCCCTATGTAGTCGCCACCGGGCACTTGTGCCAGGCGGCCCAAGCCCCAGGTGTGTACTGTGGAGGTTGGGATTCACCCTTGAAGTTCCCCTCTTGGCTATTCCCCCAACAACCCAAAACGTGAAAGATTGGAGGGAAGCCGAGGAAGCTCAGCGGATCCATTACTTGATGGAGTGAAGGGAGGAATCAAGAGTGTTGCAGAACAAAGGAATTGAGTACAGGAAAAAGCCTTCCCCACTGGAGGGGGGGGGAATCCCAAAACCTGCAGTCACGCTGGGAGGCCCAAGTCCTTGCCAGTCGGTGCAAGCGTGCCGGGCTAGCTGAGGTGTAGTGTTAAGTGTCCGTTAGTGGCATTCCCATCTACTCAAAATGCTTCCTCACATCCACTTGCCAATCATGCACCTAGCGCTGCGGGGCTCCGCGAAGGCGTCTTGTTGATGAGCCTGGCGGGCTCGTCTGTGTGCAGCTCTGCGCGTGGTGGCAAGGTTTCTGGTCTGCCCCTCACTCTTGTGACAGTGCTCGGCACAGCATAGGGCGGAGGCCGTGTCAGAACTTACCCGGCAGGGACGCTCCTGTTTCTGCTGGAAAAGTGCCTGGAACAACCGGCAGGGACAAAGCCTGTTCATGTTGGAGGGGTGCCCTCATGTTGGAGTGCCAGCAGTGAGTAGACCCTAAACTGCTGCCTAAAACTTCTTCAGAAGGCTCGTATGTGATTAGGACTCGCAAACGGTTGCCAGCACCTTCGCCAGAAGGCCCAGTAGGGATTATCGGATTTGCTGCTTCAGCCCTACCAGAATGCCCAGAGGAGGTTAAGTCGTGCACCCGAAGCTTGTGGTCCCTCGGGACTTGGAAGCAGCAGGGAGGGAAATCGCGAACCTGAAGCCTATCGGGTATCAGGACCCGGCATGAAGTAAAAGCGCGAACCTGCAGCCTATGGGCCTACGCGACCTGGGAGCAGCACGCAGATAAATCGCAAACCTAAAGCCTATGGGCTCTCCGGACCCGGGCGCAGCAGGGAGAGAGATCTCGAGCCTGAAGCTTATTGGCCTACGGGACCTGCGAGCAAGGCGGAGAGATATTACGAGCCTATCGGCTCTCACAGGACCTGAGAGCAGCAGAGATGTGTATCGTCTTGCGCAAACTGCCCATTTCTGCGACAGGCTTGCAGTCGCAAAAATCGGCCGCTGCGCGGGGCAGTTGAGTGATCACAGGACGCCGCATCTATTGACAGGCATCTTGGACACCTTGCCTGCAGTCTCACTGCCCGGCCAGGAGGGCGCCCGCCCTCCTGCGCTGTGGCAAGCAGAAGCAGTGGGTAGACCTCTCAGACTGATGCCTCAAACATCCCCAGAAGGCTCAGAAATGTTTCGGTCTCTCAAACTGCTGTCCCAACAGTTGCCTGAAGGCCCAGAAGTGATTAGGCTTCTCAAACTGCTGCCTCAACCTTCCCTGGAGGGCTCAGAGTGATTAGGCCTCTCAAACTGCTGCCTAAAACTTCTCCGGAAGGCCCAGCAGTGAGTAGGCCTCTCAAACTGCTGCCTAAAACTTTTCCAGAAGGCCCAGAAGTGATTAGGCCCCGCAAACGGCTGCCGGAACCTTCGCCAGAAGGCCCAGAAGGGATGTGAGGAACTGCTGCTTCGACCTATTCCAGCAGGTCCAGAAGTGACTAGGCCTAGCACTTTGCTGTGGGTCCTGCATCAGGTGTAGTCTTAAAAAAATCGGCCGCTGCGCGGGGCTCCGAGTTCTAAGGCCCCTTGACTCTCACACTTGACGCGCGGTTGGCTGCAGAGTGTTACGCAGCCTTGTGGGCCTTAAACTGCACCAGGCAAGCACGCCAAGCCGATAGGCTCCTGGTACCTGGGAAGCACACTTGCCAAGTGCCAGCCAGCAGCCTCTGGGGCTCTTGCGCCGTCTCAAAAATCGGCCTTTGCGCGGGGCTGTAAGAACATGGCCTCTTGCAAGCAGCGCTTCAGGCCTGCCCTATGGCCGTAGCTACGTGAGGACGCCCGGACTCACCCAGCGCAGACGGCAGCATAGTGTAGCCACACCAGCCCCTTGTCTGCCCCTGCTTGTCGGGGGGCAAGGGGACGCCTCTTCTGGCACTCTGTGTGCATTGTGCTTAGCGTGCTTGCAACTTCCTTGCCAACCTACAATGGAGTCCTGAGTGCTATTGCTACGGCCCTGGCGCTTGTGTGGGGACTGTCTCTACGGACGCGTTGAGCAGTTTAGGTGACGGAGGTTCCTTGCCTTACGGCCTACCCACACTTTCGCTTAATGTCTGTACCAGACGTGGCGCAGCATTGCTATGGGTGACGGGCTGCTGAGTGATTGGTGCCGGTAGGTTCTTGTTTGCATTGGTCTCACCATGCTGGCCTTGCGTTAAGTTGTCTTGCAATAAGGGCCTCTGCGCTAGCGGTTGCTTCTTTGTAGTCACGACTTCTTTTTCACTCGCTGGCTTGTACAATTTGTTTCACCCTTCGTGTTGAGACTCACAAGGACGGCCTACTGGGCTGCTGATGCAGTAAAGAGGCGACAGTTCAAAAAAAATAAGCCTAAGCCCTAAACCACTAGAGCTTCAACCCCAAGCCCTGACCCTAAATGCAAGACCTGGAAACAGTGTCGCCCCGCAGCCAATCCGACTCGGTGAGCCTTGCTTGCTGAGAGTTTCAAGGTGAAGCCCTCTCCGCCTCCAAAGGCAAAGACCCGGCCTGATCAACGGCCCGAATGCACGTTTTCAGATTCCGAGGCTTCAGGTTTTTGCTTTGGGATTCAGGGCTTTGGGAAAGGTTCAGGTGGCTTTTCTTTGCTGGGAATCTCGGCGCTAAGCAGCCCGGCTCGTTACGTGCTCCTGGCAAGTGTTGCCTTCCAAGCCACACAGTGGGTCTCTGCGTTTTGGAAGGCAACACTTTGCCAGAAGCGTAACAAGAGGTGGGACTGCTTTCACATGGATTCCCGGCAAAAAAACCAACCTTCCCAAAGTCCAGCTGACGTGCGTTCGAGCCGTTTGTCGGCTTTTGCTTTTGGGTGCCTCTCCCTCAGGCA